TAGACCTGAATCTGTTGCAAACACGTCATCGAGTAGAGGACAACGTAGCTGAGAACCTTACTTTCATCAAACGCAGCATTTATAGTGAAGAGTCGTGAGTTTATGAATATAACGTGGTAACCGTCCAACAATCTAGCGAATGGGCCAAACCTGTAGACACCAAAATTCGTTGAAGACTCTAAAGGCTATCTCAGCCCAGGCATATAAGACGTACAAGTACTTGTATATGGGAAATTAGATGAGATCCTATTTTGAAGGCGATAACAAAAATTTGTGTTAAAATACGTGAAAATATGGTATTTTCGTTTTGTCAGTCCGGGTCAAATTTTTGTTCAGATGGTATTACATATTTTACAATTCCGTCGAGAATTCATATTCTCTATAACGTGAATGAAATAATCCACATAAGATAACAACTTCTACTGAATATCATTTTAAATAACATTTGTATAACAAGCAGTAAATGTTATATACAAATTCCATCTAACACCAAAGTACCCTCTCCGCGTAGTCTTTCTCTAAAGCTTTCAAGCCACGGAAGTTGGTTAGCTCAAAACTGCATTAGCATAACAAATAACCAACCTATTTTTCTGTCATTATATTTATTTGCTTATTGCGTTCATTATTGAAAAGCATTAAAATGGTGAAATAATAACAATAATAAAAACCAAAGGAATACAACGGAAAATTTATATTTCTTAACGCTAGCGTGCGCGTTAACCACAACTGAGCGCCTTCGATGTGCGGCTAAATAAAATTTCCGACTCCCTGCTTTCTTCACCTACTAAGACCATACCGCCTCCGTTGTTTATTTCTTGACTCCGTTTGGCTGCAGGCAATGAACAACAGCCGCTGGTATATTTCTAATACGTTGAATGTTTGATAGGAATTCAAATTATTTCTCGCTTCCACCGCACTTCCCTGAGTCTAAGGCCGCGTTCGTGGGTGGCTTATGATTTTTGGTAGTAAAAGTGCACATAAACATATTAGGTATGCAAAATAATGGAGCACTGACCCATAACAACGTTGTGGGTATACTTAAAAACGGCTCTGGCTAAGGTGTAAGCGATTCGACTTAATACAAAGCACTTTGCATTTTTAATGTATTCTCACCACGAGGGCAGTTGGTTAAAGCAATGCAGACGACAGGCGTACATTAGCTATGTATTCCTGGACTCGAGTGCATAGAGCGTAACTAAATGGCTGACCAAACCGGTAGAGCCGCCGCCAATTTTTACAATACATCCACATAACATCAAAGCAGAGCTCCGTAAGGAGGAGGAAATGAAAAGAGATCGATGCTGATAACAAATGCCGGAACTGGGGATGCGCATGAGTTTTGTTCATCGAAATCAGAGAGGGAAGAGCAAGTAGGACCTGTTTCAAAGTCACTCTACTGAGCAAGAACAAACACAAATTTATACACATACACAGCAACATTTTCTTTAAATATTTGAGTTGTAAAACCAGGAACCCAGATAACAGGGTTTCCATATTCCATTTTTTATTTCTATACCTAAAAAAATGCCTATGTGGTAATAGCAGATTTGAGAAAAGACGCGTCTAAAAACTAAAATTAGTAATAAATTCAATTCGCAATAAAACCCGTACTACCGCAAAACGCATGCTAATTACAAAGCCGTTTACTTATCATACAAGCCTCGTATAAGCTTTTTTTGGTTCTCTTTGTTTTTGTGCTTTTAAGTGTAACGCAAATATTCATGTTATTCAAGTAATTTAAAATTCAATTTATCGCTTGTATAGTTAATCCTTTCTGGCGTGCATTTTCTTAATTAATTTTCGCTCTCAGCAGCCTTCACCGCCGCCGCACACCTCGTCACAGCCATACGATTACCGAACGATGAAACCACTGAGGTGTAGCGACAAATCGATTCGTGAAATTGTTGAATTGCGTTACAAAAGTGTGCAATCACCGCCGCCTGGCCGCCGCCCGCTCACGTCTACGCATGAGTACTCTGCCTCTGCTTCTTCTCAACTTGCTTACATTTCCAATTAACGCTTCAGCGACTAAGTAAAATGGCTTGTAAGCTTAAGGAGCTATGCCTTATACACGCTATTGTGGTTACACAAGATGCTGCTGCTCAGCTTATGCGGATTTTCTACAGCTTCACCTTTTTATCGCAAACCGCCCGCACTATTGCGGTCCTTCCGCCATTCAGACTCCTCTTCTTTATCTGCATGTATAATTTTTCTCAGCCGCTGCCAACTATTGAAAGTTGAAACTTCTTTGCATACTCGAGTAGTGGTTGCCGTGCGCACCCGAGATTCCACAGCCCACCCCACACTCTTTGACCACTCGCTCGCATTTCACTTCTGCACGGTTGGCGTATTCTTGCGCTTTCGTGAAATGTTGCTTTACCTGCTGCTGTTTTTCGTAAAGTTTGTTGTAAATTTACAGCTAACTTTTTGGCGAATTCGGAAATGAATGTGTCTAGAAAGTTTCGCCGTGTATAAATAGATTGTTCGCATCAAGTTTCGTGCTTAGTTTTTTCTTTTCCAAATTAGTAACACGTTGGCATTAACATCAAATTGTTGCAACCATATTGTGTTGGAAATTTTTGGAATAGTAATTTTTAAGGCACGCAATTTATAGTTTCACTCTAATATGTTAGTATATATTTCTAGTTAACGTTCAATGGTTGATCCCCAAGATTAGGGATCGCACCTGGAAGTAGTCCAGTCGTTTGTTAACTAAAATCGAACAGCAGGATGTCTGAAACTGTGAACTCTCAATCGTTTAAGTTTTGATCTCACGCGTGTACTAAAATGGTTCTACCTCGACTTTTTCCAGACACTACTACAGCTAGCATCCGGTAAGAATCTCAACATTACCACAAGAACATCGTTAGGGCAATGAACAGTTAAAACCGCTACAAATAGAGAAAGGCTAGCCATACTGCGGGTAAAGAGCTAACCGTAGGCCAAAGGGATCTTGCGACATTGCAAGAACTAAGGGTAACCGAGGTCGGGCTAAGTTCTCGCGAAGCCCAGCTATCCAGTAGTACTTGTAGAACGCACGAAGAGAGCAACAGCCCGTTCACAATCCACTGACAGCAGGACTAAAGTGCCTATTTATGCCAGATTTCAGTTTTGCAGTTGCCTGCGATTCCGCTCTGGCCTGGCACCCAGACTAGTATATCGCAAAGTATCTCGATGCCATTAATAGAGGTTAAGCATTCTTTGACTAGCCTTAAAATCATAGTTAGTGAGGTTATTCATATAACTCACAAAAATAAAAATACTGCTAAACCACTATTGAATTTGAAGAAGCCAATTCTATTAGGACTATTTTATAAAATTAAGACTCAGTGATGTCCAGTTGTCACTGAAATTCTTCAGATATGTAGATCATAAACCCAGAAAGCTCTCTAGCACGAACATACTGAAAAGACTATCATTACTGTATGGTGTTCTTTGCACCCCGAGAAGATTTTTATCCAGAAGATGGAATAAAACTGAGGATGGAGGCAACATTACCATCAATAGAAGTCTTATTAATCGATTAAGTGTAAATTAGGATGGAATTTTACCGACCGGACCAAGAGGAGACCTTTCAGTTGACCACCTTGATTATGAGTACTAATTCCCATATATTCTTTCAGTAAGTCAATGATCTATGCTGATAGAACAGCTACGAAAAGTCAAGTGGAACCAAAGTAGCACGTTTTAAATAAATTCTACAAGAAAGAGTCTAATATGTCAAATTGCTATTCCTTAGATCTAATCTTCACCAGATCCGTGTTGAAAACTCGTATAACTTACAACCATATCTTTGAAAGTGTGACAAAAGAGCTTAAACTTAAAAATATTCACTGCAAAATCGAACACTTTCAATGACTGCATTTATTTAATGACAACCTGAGCTTATCAGACCATTTCACACAGCAACCAATAATTCAACAAACCGTTAACACAGTTAAGGCGGTCGTTAAAGTGTTAGTTGTCAGGAAATAGGCCAACTTATCGGTTATTCCTCGATGACTCCGGCTACTATGAACTCGCAGAACGCGCTTCGCCTAAGTCAATTACCCTAACACATTCACATTGTTGTGGACCTGAATATGCAACTATTGTTTCCAATTTATTTTCACCGCCGTTAATCTGATTGTTTTTCTAACTCACGTGCACATGGAATATATATGTATGTATACCTATATAACGTTTTAACGCCATTTGGCGGTGGGTTTTAGGTGTATGTGAAGTAACTTAGCGCTGCGGAAACAAAAAAAACCCGAACAAATATTGTAGCAAAGCGTGTGAAAAAGGTGGGTCACGTGCCTACAGCCGCCAATGCCATAGGTATACAAGTACCGAAGTTGACTTTTCCACACCTACACACACACGCCGCTTAGAGTTCCATTTATATTCGACATTAGTTGGTGAATTGCAAGTTTTTATCAGCCACAAACATTCGCTGTGGATTTGCTGGAACAAAATGCTGTGATAGTACAGCCACGGCGGCTAAGCGGGATAGACTGGGAAATGCGGATGTGCAAGCAAATGGCATATTGTAGAACATACATGTATATATGCATGTGTGTGTATATATATAAGTATGTGTGTGTCGGCATTTATTGTAATTTCAAACGGTAGGGCATATTGTGCCTTAGGCGTGATATGCACATATAACGGAAGTGATTGTAAACGCCCGGAAATGCCAACGAGGTGCAGAAGCGCTGGCGTACCTACATATACATATATGTAAGTTTGCATGTGTGTAACGTATAAAAAACAAAAAGAAAAGCGAAATGCCACCGCTGAGTTGTAAATTACACGTCATTCGATGTCTTCCTCTATTTGTGGCACATCCTTTGCTTTATTTTGAGGTCATTTAATTGCAGTTAGTACGTTTTGCACTTCCTGTCTTTAAATAAACCTGCCCCTACCACTAGCTTTGCTGAACAGTATTGTCGCTGAGATTTTTAAATATTGTATGCGAGGCTTATGCATTTTTAGTGGATTACTTGAAACTCACTTACCTTACTCGAGTGGAACGTTCCACAAAAACACATGACTGAAACGATAGGAAATGGAATAAAATGAAAGAAAGTGTAATCGGAAAAAGAAATAGAAAAATAGCATTAGGAAATGAATTGAGGGACATAAAATAACAAAAATTCATATAAATATTAGAAATGATAGAAAAATTATAGAAACAGTACTAAGAAGGGAGTAGTTTATTCAAAAAAATTATATGTAGTTTATTAATTAATTATCGTATAATAAAGCGATTTGAAAGCTTGCATCGAACTATAGTATACCCAAGATAATACATACATTTATTTTTGTGACATTGGATATATGCGGTGGGGGGTTAGAACTAAGTCGATTTTAACCTTTTTTAGCACATTATTATCAAAAAAAGACCATCTCTGAATTTGTTTAATATACCTCACATATTGACCGATATATGCATATGACAAATACATAATTATTAGGTATATAGGAGCTACGGTAAGTATTGACTGTATGGCTTTTAACCATTTTCGCAAAAATATATAATTAATTATTATTATATAAAAAAACCTCTAAATTTCTTTAAGACACTGTTAGGTATTGGTTTCGACCGCTATTTATGGCATAAAGTTAAACGGAAGTTTGAAAATCTTTATATTAAGTATATGTGAGCAAAGGGAAGTATTGACGCGATTTTATGCATTTTTACCACAATAACACGCTGTTATCAGGAAAAGATGCTCTTTGAATTTCCTTAAGAAAACTCACAAATTGACTGACATTAACGATTTAAAGTCAACAGAAAGTTCGAAAATTGTTTTATTAGGTATATGGCGGCTAGGGTTATTACTGAACCGATTTTATCCATTTTTGGCATCAGAAAAAGATACTTAATTAATTTCAGTAAGATATCTCACATATTGTCCGATATTTTCTGCATAAAGTCAACCATAGGCACTGGAGTTCTCATATCTGGGGACTTGAAAAACTTACGGTCCGGTTTATGCATTTCGAAGTGAAAGAAGCAGTTGGAATTTAAATATGAAGGGTGTCACAAAATTAACGCCAGATTGGAATTAAATAGAAAACACAGTTTTTAGGCTTTCGATTGTAAGTTTTTTTTATTGAATCATAAAGTAAAATGGCCCACACGTCTTTCCATACACATACGCATTCATTTGTCGAAATTTTCCATAACTATGTTATTCTGCATAAATGTGGGTGAATTTCATTTCATTGATGCAACGTAGAATCTCCAACTTTGAAGCACGCGTGGTGGTCGGCTTGTTGCAATAGAGCAGTGATATTAAATAACCCCATAAAAATAAATGTAAAGGTGTTAAATCACACGGTCTAGCGAGCCAATTCTGATCAACAAAAGGAGAGACTATACGACCTGGAAATGTCCCATGCAGTATAAACTACACACCACAAATAACTAACAATAAAACCACAAGCGGTTAAGCTCCACTCTAACCCTCTCCGTAGTACTTAACCTTACATGTAATGCCTTAAATGAAGTAAATAATTTAATAAAATAAACAAAACGGAAATATTTGTCATTTGCGCGTAATTAATTTGACAAATGACAGAAGCAACATCAAAATTATTTATGTAAAAATTTCATACATGCACAAACATATATACACATACTATTTACTGACGAAATGACATATGCGCCGAATCATATAATTCATATAATACGCATTAACCATTGCCGTCAAATTTTAATTAAACTCACATTTGCCTGCCGACACTTGCTGGCTTACTTTCATGTCAAAATTAATGGTTAGCGTAAACTGGCAGCAAGTCAAAGCCGTACAAAATTGGTTTTCTGCTGTGGTGTGGACGCGATGGTGACGCGGTATTTCCGCTAGTCGTGACACATTTCCGCATTGCGGCAGACCATATACACAAGGCAAAGCTCACTGTAGCGACGGACATACGCTTTCTAACACGAACACAAGCAGACATGTGTGTGTGTGTGTGTTGGTAGCAAGTGCAAAGGTCAAAGCGAAATTAATACGGCATTAGGTGCGAAAAAGAGACAAAGCAGAATAATAGAATAGAAATGAGAATGTTGAACAAAAGGTAGAAAGGCTCACAATATATATATAGGTATATATATATATATATATATGTATATGTATATATGCGCATACATATATAGATACATGTTCGGTGAAACGAAAGATTGCAAGAAAACAAGAGAATTATAAATAAATGTAATAAAGTCCGCTTTGGCGTGCACGTTTCGGAGCATAACAAACTTTTGACAGTTTCTTAAATTACTGTCGATATTTGGCTGCTGCAAGACGAATGTAATAAATCGTCGCAAAAAAGAAGAAAAGAAATGAAGAGAGGGAAAAGGTTATACAAAAATACGTTTATTTAATATTTTCTAAGACCTAGCGGATCAAAGAGAGAGAAATTTTTAGAAAAATTACAAGCAGGTGAAATGAAGAGACAACAATAAAAAAGGTTAATTCAGGCAGCTATATAGAATAGTTGTCCGATCTGAACAGTTCATTTGGAGATTGAAACGTAAGCTTGAATTATAATGCCTACTTTTGAGAAGATAACTAGTAAAGTAAAAAAGTTTTCCGTACAAGAACTTGATTTTGATCGATCAGTTTGTATGTCTACTAGTTCTAACTGCTCAGTTGCTCATGATCACTAGTGGGTTGCGATGCATAAAGCAAATTTTGTTGTACAGTTGAATAGTGACTACTATACTGGCACTAGTTGCCATAGACAATAGAGCGGTTAGCTACAAAGTTGGGGTAAGAATGGGTGATAGCAATGGCTTCATATTTATGTGATCATTGATTCAAAATATTTTTATTTTTATAATTTGCTTCAAATGTTGCATATTTTTAGGCTACCCGAATTTGATATAAACAATGTAAACGATCTTTATCTTTAAGGAAGTCTTAAGCTCTCAGACAGATTTGCTTTATATGCTGAAGTGCTTATAGTGAAACTGAAAAGCAGGATGCAATTGTTACAAATTTATGTTCGTATCTTAACTTCCGGCAGCGTCAGGTCAAGTAGCGTCTTCTACACATAATACCCATCAAAATTGAATATGCTTATAAAGATTATAGAACTAACAAGAAAGGGCATGGCTTTTGTCGTAATTCAGAGTTCGTAGAGGAACAGCCATACTGAAATTATCTTGTGGTAAATCTCGCATTCAAATCCCATTCGACAACTCCTTAATCGCTGTCAGCCCACACCACTTAAGCAATCTAAAAAAAAATAACAAGTGCTTTAGAAGTTGTTGATATGACTACTCAGCTATCAGCTTGACATTATTTCTGCCCAATCGAACAGAATTCAAAATCTGACAAAACATTGCGCGATTTTCAAGTGCCCCTTTTTCCCGGCTACCACTTTTTGCTCCAATTGAGGTGACAGTGTCAAATAAACAAACGCTTCTGACTGCTGGAAGTTGACAACTGCAACTAAATGCGAGTTCTAAAAGATTCGACACATTGACTGATTGTGGGGTGGGGCACCGCACAAAAGTGGAAAGAGTTCGATTGAGTGCGACATTGATTGAGCGAATGGTTCGAGGGCTGTGAGGTAGGGCAGTGAGCTTGGCTGGGCGGTTGTTTGGAGTGTGTACCTCGAAGTGAATGTGTATAAAAGTTGAAGGACGCGACACATATTTTACGCACAGATATGTCATATAGATATAGGTATGCATATATAAACGAGTAGCAGAAGCAGCTCCTTCACTTGTGCCTACATACCTATATGTATGTCTGTATGTAAGTATATCAATAATTTCGCCGACTACGGTCATGAGTATCTTTTACATTATTTATTGTCAGCATAAATAACGCGCGACACAAATCACACTTATGCAAGTAGATCAGACACACACGCAGTTCCGTGCTATATATACATATGTGTGTATGTTTTTACTGGTAAAGTTTCGGTGTTTCCACTACGCACATGTGGAGGGCACAAAAGTCTATGAAGTACGTCTATATGTGTGTGTGTTTATGTATGGACGACATGCAAATGAAATTTCAAGTACCCAGCGAACAAAATGTAGACGATTTTTTCAAAATTTCACCACTTTCGATAGTTTTTAATATTAGTTGTTTTTTGTTTTTGCGAATTTTTTAATGAAAGAAAGCTTTGAAGTGTTCAAGCGCTTTTGCTAAATTTTTTGGAGACACAAAGGATGCTGTTTGGTCAGTAAAACAGTACGTGGTCTCGAAAACCCGAGCATTTCTTAGACCCTTTTTTGGTTTAAATGCAAAAATTCTATAATAAATGAAGTTTAAGTGTTTATCAAGGGAATCCGTAATATGACCTTGAGTCTACTGAGATTTTGGACCTAGAAGACGAAGAACGTCCTGGGCGGCCAAAACAAGTTTGGAGATGAGAAACAGCATGCATTATAAGATTATGAAACCGGATGGAACCATTAATGGAGAAAGTTATCGATGCCATATCTTCAAATTGAAGTGAACGGTTGCCGAAAAATGCCCGGAATTCGCGACTAGACACGAGGCAACAATATTTCAGCATAACAGCGTTTGGCCTTATGTTGTAAGATCGGTTAAAAACTATATATTTGGAAAACAACGGTTGAGAAGTTTTGCCTTACCCGCCTTATAGCCTGGACCTTGCTCCTTCTGACTACTATCTCCTATTGTACTCGATAATCCTTATGGTATAATACATATTAGATCAGACCTAAGTAACCGACATAGATTGTTATTTAGATGCGGACAGTTATAGAAATTTTATGCAACACGAGCTAAGTTTTGCTTACTGGGTGCTTCCAAGAGAAAGAAAAAAACCCGAATAAACAACGCTGGCATTGCATTGGTGTGGATATTCTCTCGTCTCTTCATTTCTCACGTTTCGTTTAAAACTTCCCGCCCAAGCTTTAACAAGTCATGTGTTGCGCTGCAAATCCTTTACTCTCACTGATCGTATATTACAGTTATATATGTATACGAAAAATGCGCGTCTGTGTGTGACGGACAGTTACGCCTTCTTCTGCCACCAATGTGTGTACATGGTATGATTGATTGCGAGCGAAATTAATCATGAAATGTGCCATTATGTAGATGAATGAGTCGTCGACGATAAGGCCGGCAACCGCGAGTACCAAAACCCTAAAACCAACAGCGACAGCAACAACCACAGCCAAACCAAACAAACAATCAGTCACGGCGCAGTAAGTACTTATAGCGGTCGGAATTTTATTAAGTAAGTACGTACTTGGCCTCTTCCTGACTAAGTACACACATTATGTTGCACGATTTGAATGATTAATTTTATGTTTTTTCCATAGTTCGAAACCACAAATTGTTGCATATGCCACAGTGGAATATTCTCTTACGAAATATACCGATAAAGCGGACATTTAAAACATAAGGTAAGGACAAATCGCCTAATACTTAATTAAAATGTTGGAAATCTATTGAGTCAAATGTGGATTCGGGGAGACCTAATTTGAAATTGCCTAAAAATAATTAAATCGGCCTAACTTATGAGCACTGTAGCTTTCAAAACGTCTTGTTAATTAAATCCTTAAATACATTCAGAGGACCAACAATTGAAGCTAATATATCTCTTCACCTTCTTCTTCAACTTACTCTTCAGTATAGTTGTTAGGAGGTAGAAGAGAAGAAGACCATTAAACATCTTCTATGCAATTGTACTACTCTCTATGGGAAAAGAATCGCAGCCTTCGCTTGAGAGTATCTTGACAACGTCGCGGAGGTTGCACGGAAAAACTTGTCTTACTGATGAACTTCATCGGAAGTACGGGGTGGGTCAGAGAGGAGTCGATAGAGTATAGGGACTTTGGTACCCTAACATAACCTAGGAAGATAAAGGAAGATGCGGCGCTGTACCAAGCCCCATAACTTTTGGAATGCCAAGGCTAACCTACTGAGGTTACTATTTTATTTTTAATAGTAGAAAGCCAGTACGGTTAAGTTTTTTGTTCACAACACTTTTTATCGAGTGAGAATTAAGTATAGAACCGAAAGAAGCTTAAAAGCGCTGAGCTTATAACCAAGTTTAGCTGCCAATTAATTTAAATACATAGTAATATACAAATACGCAAATAAAAACGTGAGAAAATGCGATTACTTAAAATACGATGAGCTACGAGCATTTAGTTAGTTATTTATAATAAGAATACACACATACATACACCAGAAGTATGTATAGAAAGTGGTTGTTGATCTGTTTGTATGTGTGGGAATGTGAGTGTTTAGCACTTGCTGCGACCACAAATGCGCTACCAACATTGGCAACAGCAGGAGCAACAGGAACAACGGTAGCAATAACTATACCAATAACAGCAACAACAAGGACCGCATCACATTCAACAGCAGCTATAGCATAACCTAAGGCGATGAAGAGCGCACCGTCCCATATAACATACACACGTAAACCCAATGATTATTATTGCTTTCATTGTTGCTGCTGTTGTTGTGCCACCAAAGTTAGTTGCGGTCGTGGTGGTATGACGCCAGCTGCCGCTCTCATATTCCTATTGCTGTGGTGGCTTCTCTGTTTCACAGCGCAGCCAAATCATAAATATGCAATTATTCATTGTAATCTTATTCAGCAGTTATTTACAGGCATATATGTGGGCGCGTGTGTATATACATATATGTATGCAAGTGTGTGTGTGTATGTGTACTCATGTGAATGCAAAAGCAGCAATTCAATTTACTACAACAAGATTTGGTAGCTTAACGCTCGCTAATGCCGAGCATCAGTGTGGGATATACTTGGAATCAGATGAGTGTGTGGGTATGCGTATTTGTGTGGGAGAAAATACGTATATATGTGTGCGAGCGCGAGTGTGAGCATGTTTGTGGTTTTGTGGCATTTGAACGCACTAAAATAAAAGACGTTGCATACTCATGAATTCGAAATCACATTAAAGATTTATAATGCGCACAAAGGGCATACGCACACACATATGTATGTATGCGTGTATGCATATATAGTAGATTCACGCATACATACGCATGCATATAAAGGTTTTGCGGGAGCACACACAAAAGGATTAAATGAGCATATTATATATACCTCCTATTACTTCGAGAGATGTGACGGGTAGAAGAGATAGAACTTATGGGTAAAAATTCTGAATCAATCACTCTTATATCCATGTAAAACAATTTTTTCCATACTAAACCGTCTTTTCTCTTAATACTCATATGTACACTACTTATATATTTTATTATTTTACGTAATGTTAGGGTAAAAGTTATAATTGTCTTAAATTTAAAGTTTATTGGTAGTAATTTAATAAGTGCTATTCACTTGACCATAAATAACTCGGAATTAGCTGGTATTTCCGAATACCATAAACATATAAGCATTTTAAAAATATTAATTTTTATTACAGCGATTCAAGTAAAATATAACCGGTTTTTAGTTGTAAGTATGTATGTACATATATACAGACTTATGTATCCACTGAAATGTATCAAACGAAAGAAAACGCTTTGACGAGTTTTTTTTTTAATAACAAGTGCATTACTCTACAAACCTGTTGTTTTTAAAGCTTTTAAAATACTTAATTATATACCAATAGATGAAAAAATTGATTGTTTCTATACCCCAAACAGAGTATATTAAAATTGCCACGAAGTTTGCAACGCCCAGAAGGAAGTGTTTCAACACTTCACCATAAAAGCCAATGCTCAAAGATTTGTTAATTTCAATGGCTTAAAAAAAGCGAAGCATGACCAGGCTGTCACCAGACAGTGGTAAGACAGCACCACCGCAAACTTCATCGTTGCCGTGTAAATATTGCATTGTTCTGTACAATTCGCTTTGAGAACAATTGTGAGCTATTAAGCACACATCTCAAATTATAATTGAACTTTTTATCAACAGTGCTGACAAATGAGATTATATGTTGTGATATTAAAATGTATTACCGGTTCCACATGGTGCATCCTGAAAAAACCGCCTCATTCAGTAGCAACAATCAGTATAGTTCATATACATATGTATACGAAAATTACTGTTCTCTTGCAGTAACTATGTGTAGTTATTACTATAATTTTTTTTTTAAGTAATAAAATATTCTAATGATTCTTACATGGATTTTGAGCACATGCTTTTAATTTGAAATATAATTTTTGTATTTATGAATTGTATTAACTTTTAACGTAAAGAAATAAAAACAAGAAAAAGCGTTAACTTCGGTTGCACCGAAGCTATAATACCCTTCACAAATACAAAGATTCCTTACAAGAACTTGATTTCGATCGTTCAGTTTGTATGGCAGCTATATGGTATAGTGGTCCGATATCGGCCGTTCTGACAAATGAGCAGCTTCTTAATGAGAAAAGGACAGGTGCAAAATTTCAGATCGATAGCTTAAAAATTGAGCTACTAGTTTGCATATATACAGACGGACGGACGGACAGATGGGCATGGCTAAATCAACTCAGCTCATCATGCTAATCATATAGGTATATATTTTATAGGGTCTCCAACGGTTTCTTTCTGGGTTTTACAAACTTCATATACTCTGTTCAGTGTATAAATATCCTATGTCCGTCCACACGTTTTAGGCTGCCTTCCCACTAATTTTCAGCCAAATCGGTTTAGTCGTTCTTGAGTAATAAATAGTGTAACTAACACGACTTTCTTTAATACTATACTATATAGACGTAGATGAATGAAAGTAAACTTGAGATCATATCAGCACTCCTTTGAGAGACAAACCATTAAATAATACAAATATCGATTTCGGAAGAAGATCCGTCAAAACGATGTCCCTTTTTTAGTTTCAACATCAGATTCGCGAAAATCGTTTAGTTCGTACTCATGCATGAATATATGTATGTATGTATGTAATAAATACTTTATTGAAAAATCGTTTCAAACAGAGTACAACTTCACGACAACGAGATTAACGACGACGAATATAATTTTTTAAAATTCGCGCAATAAACCATGTAAGCGGAGGTTCCAATCGTTCACAGAATTATACATTTGTATGTATACATTTATATGTTCTTCTTATATCAAAAACCACTATAACTTTTAGTAGTAGTCAGTGTAAAAGTATGTGTTTGGAATAAAGATATCAACCACTGCTTCCTTTTTCACATATGTACAGACATAAGTATATGATTCATTATTAGTAATTTATAATTACGATTTTGCAAGCCGTTTATATATACATACATACATATGTATATACGTATAGTACAAACCGTCTTTGTGTGGGCACGTATATATTCTTCTTAAATGAGTCGTACAATGCCAAGCCGATAACATGTTTAGTTCGTACTCATGCATGAATATACTCGTATGTATGTATGTATGTAATAAATATTATACTTTATAGAAAAATCGTTTAAAACAGAGTACAACTTCACGACAACGAGATTAACGACGACGAATATAATTTTTTAAAATTCGCGCAATAAACCATGTAAGCGGAGGTTCCAATCGTTCACAGAATTATAACTTTTAGCACGCCTGCCTTTTTCACATATGTACATACATAAGTATATGATTCATTATTAGTAATTTATAATTACGATTTTGCAAGCCGTTTATATATACATACATACATATGTATATACGTATAGTACAAACCGTCTTTGTGTGGGCACGTTAATACACATATGTGTACGTATATATAGGAGTGTATGTTCTTAAATGAGTCGTACAATGCCAAACCGATAACCCCAGAGTCATACTCTAGTCACGTCATAAAATCTAAGTATGTATGAATGCTCGTGTATGTATGCACCCATACCCCAGATGAAGACACGAAAACTGGGATGATTGTGGCGATCTCAACAAAACAGTTGCAATTTGATTTTCGACTGTATAACAACGCGTCTGCTCTCCGAAATGAAATGTTTAAAAAAGTATTCGTTGCAAATAATTTGTGTGATTTTGGCATGCGCACACACCTTCGCTACACCGTTAATAGAGGATCGTGCTAAAAAAATTCCCTTGAATCCAACGAAAACGGAAATCGATATAATGCGAACAGCAAAGACCAATTCAATATTAAACAATATGGATAGGAAAATTGATCCATGCGATGACTTCTACAAGTTTGCGTGCGGAAATTGGACCCGCCTCTACCCTGCTACTACAATCGATCACTTGACAACTGGTCTATTTGAAGAGTTGAGCCATTTACTTGACCGCAAAGTGGAAAAACTTTTAACAAATGATCCAAATTTCAATTACACCGACATCGACAATAAAGTAAAGGACTTCTTTGAGTCCTGTATGAATTTAGTTCAGAAGAAAGAAAACCTCAAACAAGACTTAATTCGCACTATCGCCCAGTTTGGGGAAATGCCTGCGCTCAGCGGTGCTAAATGGAATGCGGATAAATTCGACTGGGTTGAGACAGTTGCAAAAATTGCTCACAAATATGGCAAGGACATCATCATAGGCATGGATATAATGGCGGATTTTAAAGACAACAGCGTCAATATAATTTACATTGGCCAAGCGGAACTGCCCTTAGAAAGTCGTGTTATGTATTTGGATAATTCAACAGCTGTGTATAGAGATAGTTATAAAAATAAAATTCGTAAAGAGCTTGAGAAATTTTTAGGAATGGATACACATTTGGCTACGAAGACTGCAAATGAAATTGTGAATTTCGAGGTAAATTTAGCGTGGGGTTTAGTTGATGACACACTCGGTCAAAGTCTAGATGAGTTATCAAAACTCACAACCATTGATGACTTGCAAACCAAATACGGCAAAGTAATAGACATGAAAAAGCTGATGAACATAACATTGGGAGAAATAGTTCAAGACAAAGTGTATGAGTATGCTGGATCATATCAGGAGAACTTGTTGAAAATTATTCCTTTGACACCAAAAGCAACACTAGCTAATTATATTTTCTATACATTCCTCAACGATTACATGCTGGATATCGATAAGTCGCCAAAGAACCAAAAGAAAACCTGCATAGAGAAGACCAAATCATATTTTGCTAAGAATGTGGATAATATGGTCTATCGTAGATATAGTACCGGTAAAACTGAGCAAGATGTGGAATATATGTGGAATAAACTGAAACAAACATTCAAAAATAAGTTACTCTCAGATGACCTCACCTGGATATCAGAACCGACTCGTCAATATGCACTTGAAAAACTCGATGCCCTTCGAATGGAAATCAATTCATACTCAGATCATGATTTTACCGAAGAATTTGGTTCATTGGTCACTAATAAATACGATTATCTAGGAAATGTGTTTGCTTTATTAGAGTTAGATACTAAAAGATCTATCGCAAAATTACATGAAGAGCCAAAACCCATAGAAGCTGGCGAAATACTATCCTACACGCCTGCTAATATCCTAATTGAAAATGTCATCAAAGTACCGGTTTCGATTCTGCAGCCGTATATTATGTGGGGTGACTACTATCCAACAGCAGTGAAATTCGGTACTTTAGGCGCGCTGGTAGGGCACGAACTTATACATGCCTTCGACGATACCGGACGGCGCTTCGACAAGGACGGTAATAGTCGTGACTGGTGGGACGAGAAATCCACAGAGATTTTTCTTAATCGCACTGAGTGCTTCAGCAATCAATATAGTCAGTACGAGTATGGTGGACGTAAACTACCGAAGAGCGTATCGCAATCAGAAAATATTGCAGACAATGGTGGTATGCGATTGGCATACGATGCGTATCTGCGTTGGTATGAAGATGCAGAACGTGCTGGGGATGACGTTGTCATGGAAACCCTACCAAAATTCCCCTACAACTATAAACAATTGTTCTTTATTAGCTTCGCACAAATTTGGTGCAATGATGTCCATCCCCAAGTCAAACAACTCCAAACATCAACCGACCAGCATGTCCCAGGCGAGTTTAGAGTAATCGGACCTCTCTCGAACTATGGAAAGTTCGTGAAAGAATTTAACTGCAAAGAGAACAAACAAATGAACCGCCCCAATAAGTGTGAAATATATTAAACTTAAAATTCTTACTAGGCTTATGTACATATATATATATATATATATATAGTACCAACATATGTCTCTCATTATCAGTAATTTAGCAGAAATCCATAAACATTTGTATACATACATATGTGTATACGTATATATGTGTATATATACATATGTATATACATAAGTTTATTTAATTTCATTGTGAAACAAAACTTAGCATATACATATAAGCACAATCAATTCGGAGTGGTTAAGTCGAAAATTCTTGTGTATAATATTACAAAGCAACGTATTTTAAACAAAAGAAGAAGGATGCGATTATATTAACAGATTTATTAATAATTTATAGAAATGCTTGGCTGAAGTACTTCCTTTCGATGTTATCATACAAATTGAAGGTCTGAAAAGTGTTAAGGTAGCTGTCCAGAGCGTTGTAAGAACCTCTTTCATCTTAATTTAAGAAACTAGCTAATTCGAATCTCAAATCAAAAAATTTAAATGATAAATTGAGTTCAAAATAATTTAGTATTTTCTAAACGGTGTTCTGCATTTATAACTCGTTTACACAACTTTGTTTTATTCGAAGTTTTGTAAGTTTTAAACCTTCAGAAGAGTAATTAGGTTAAATAGCAATAACTAGTTGAACTATTTCAGATTTATGACCACATATGGTTTTTCGCCGTAGTCTGCAAAGTGATTTTAGATCGGTTTAGAATCTCCACCTAGTCTACATTCAAACGCTATGTGATGTAAAAAACCAAATGTAAATTTTTGTTTTTGGAATGTATACAAACGAACATATATAGTGTCTCAATAAATCTAACAAACCCCCTTGTAAAGTTTATTTAGCAATGTATGTATGTATGAAATATAGGAATTTCACTTACCATGAGTGAGTATATTAACAGTTTCATTATGCCAGCAGAACAAGCTCCATAGGCAACCACGGAAGGTTGTCAGCGGTCGGTAACCGTTCAGCACATATGGATTGAACTGCAAATATTTTGGCATATCCTGCTATTTCTGTAGCTGTTTAGTAGAATTGAATGCGGGTGATTTCGTTGTTGCGCGCGACTTTAGCTCTAATGAACTTTTCGGTGACTGCACGATCGATGTGCTTTCCAAATTCGTACTAGGTGCTAACAAGTTCGTTGATGATGACAGCGATGATGGCGATGAGAGTGACGACCGCGGTGTCGATGGTGTTGTTTGTGTATATAATCCTAAATTTTCCTCGTTTGCAGTGTGTAGTGGAAGCTCTCTAATAGGGAGTACATCTCGCTGTTCGAAACGTTCGTTGCCATTTAAAGCTTATATATCTCCTGATGTCGAGAACGTAGCACCAGTATCAATATCAATGCCATCGACGCAGCTTTCCACAACCAGTGTTCGTCGTCGAGCCATTTCTCGCTTAATACTAATTGGTGTTGCGATCACAGACGATATAGTCGAATTTGAACTTGAATTGCTGCTGGAACTTGAGCTAGAAATATTGGATTGCCCAGACGCCAACTTAAATTCTGTATTCGACGTGGTATTCGACATAGACTTTGCTGATATGACGACAGAGTTTTGCTCTATTGTCTTTGATGGCGACGCTTGTGGTGAAGAAGACGGCGTAACAGACATACGCTCTGTGTTGCTACCTAGATATTCAACCATATCGATTGTTGTAAAGTGCGAAGGTGTTAATTCGCACGTATGTGCATGTGTAACGATGTACATGCACACATACTACCTACTTCTTGGTTATACCACAGATTTATCTACACATTAAGCATATTAAAGTAAGGTGGCTTTTAGTGTAGTCTTAATACTTGTAATTCATTACCACTTCTAAGTATTGTGTAAGCTTCTTTTTTGCACTTTGTAGAGAATTTTAATTCATACAAGTAAAACGTTTTGTGCAACAGCCTGTTTAGAAATTAATGAAATTGAGAGATTACTCACCTATGGATATGGATGGATGGACATATGGATGGGTTTATACAGATATCTATGTATATTTTATAACATTTTATTTTAGTTTAGAACTTTTTTGAATATTCTTCACAGTTCGATCATTATTTACCCGCAATAATAAATTCGGTTGACTGCAACGAAATTGTGTTACGCAACATCATTTCGTCACATTCGTAGTGGAGATTAATTAAAATCTGGTTGAAGCTTTAACCCAAATAAAAAAAAATGTATATAGAGTTGCCACGTGGCTCAAAATTTTAAATCAAATGTAATAAAAACAATATTTGTTTCTTATTGTAGGACCAACTGTCAGCTGTTTTAAGCTTAAAAAAATAGTATATAATATTGCCGGGTAACTTAAAGTTTTAAGAAAAAAAATTAAATCAAACAATATTTTTTCTCAGATTGTAGGGCAACACTCTCGGATGTTTTAAACCTAAAATATAAAAAAAAATTATAGGCAACCCTATAGCTCTACGTGATTCAAAATTTTAAATGCAGAAAAAAAATCGAATATTTTTCTTAAGTAGATATGTTGTTATTCATATTTGTAGCTTATAATATTTTATTTAAAATTTTAAATATCAAGTTGTGAAGACTTAGCGCAGCTATATAATTAGAATATTTTTATTCAATAAACAAAGAAATATCGCAATATAACCATCGGACTAGAGGTTAAAAAAAATTAAGAAGGCTTGCCATCCGCTTTAAATCTTAATTTGTCTAAAATAAATCAACTATTACGACACAGGGTCATGCCATGCAGGCTTAAGGGGGCATTCTAGTCGGAGGACTGAATTTTTTTTTGTTTTTAGGAAATTGAAAACATTGGTCTATAGTGATTTTGTTTCAAATTTGGATATATTTTTACCTTCAATTTATGAAAAAATCAATGATTTTTTAAAATTTGCTTTTCTTTATTTTTAAATACTTATTTTCATTTTACATCTTAAAAATTGTATATCAGTTTTGTTTCAAAAAAAAAAAAAAAGATACATCAAAGTAGACAGAGAGAAAATCGTCGAAAACCTATGTCATACTTTAATCAAACTTCTTTAATTGTAATAATTTTCCAGTTGACAATTTCTTTTTAAGGACCAGCAGTAATCTGCCATCATATGACGATTCCATCAACTCTGATACCTTTCTTCCATCACTTTTAGATCCTAATGGAACCGCTCTCTCTATTCCATATTATAATTATTCCCATAATTATCCGAAACATTCATTTAGACAATAGTCTAACTTAATACTCATATTAGCTACTAGAGTCTAAAAATTTGTCAGTGTAATTTGCTAAATTCTTTCGTTATATGGTGCAATATTGGTATCTATGAAATTTTCGACTACTAACACAAAACTTTTTCAATCTTCAATTTCCAGAACAGTCATAACATTGATAAAAATCTATATTTTTCATTCTAATTGTTTGTGGTTTCAATTATTTTTTGTTTTCTATTCTGCTTTCTCCGCTACTTCTGCTCTCATTTCATTACATTACATCAACACAAATTACGCAAAAAGTTTACTAAAGTATAGACTTACATTTTTAAATTTATACCATATATCAATTATTTATGTATCTTTATTACCTTTTTCATTTGTAAGAACTTTTTTCGAATATTTCTTGCTTGAGAATTTGGAAATTGTCAATACATACCTAAACAGGAGAGTTATATAAATTAAAAAGTAAACTTACCTTTTAGCTTAAGCCCAAGTGAAATTTTTGTTACAAATATATTTATTTATATTTTTTTTTTTTAATTTTTTATTAGTTGTTTTATTTTTTACAAAATGCATAGATTTTCATTTGTTGGTTTTTTTTTTTTGCTGCCTTTTAATTTGAAGTTCGTATATCTATTTATATTGTATATACTCAGATTCGTAGTTGTTTTTATTATACTCGTTTACATTACAACGCGCGCTTACTTCTGAACGCCTTAGAATAATTAAATATAATTACATTATATATATTATTTATTTGCTTATTAAATTACAGTTATCTACAAAACAGTTGGCGTACTAAGTACTATCTGTATATATATTGTATATACTAAATATGTTTTTATTTTTTATTTGAAACGTCGATCAGTTATGCTACATACAACTCTGTTCAAAGTGTTTTAGGAAAGTTGGAACAAAACAAAATTAAAATAAAAAATGCTTAATAAAGAAAATCAAAAAATAAACAAAAATATTAAATAAACAAAAATATTAAATAAAAATTAAAAATTTAAATAGAACAAAAAGTCAAAAATACTAACAAAACAAAAATCATTAAAAACAAAATAAAAAATAATAAGATAAAAAAACAAATAATGAAAATAAAATAAAAAAATATAATAAAATAAAATAAAAAAAATATAATAAAATATTAAATAAAAAAAAATTTAAAAAAAAAAATTAAAAATTTAAATAGAACAAAAAGTCAAAAATAATAACAAAACAAAAATTATTAAAAACAAAATAAAAAATAATAAGATAAAAAAACAAATAAAGAAAATAAAATTAAATTAAAAAAATATAATAAAATAAAATAAAAAAAATATAATAAAATAAAATAAAAAAAATATAATAAAAACAAAAAAAAAATACAAAAACTAAAAATAAATGTAACAAAGAAATTGAATTAAGAAAAGGAAATGAAATGATCTTTTAGAGAGAAAAAAGGGAAGACACCAGCAGGATAACACAAAGTTGCTAAAATCCCAACTGGATTAGCAAAAGTGAAGCAGGGAATTTTTCAACGTATAAAGAAGGATAATGTTATTAGATTTGGAACTACCTAGTCTTATATTGCTGATAAAAACAGCGAAGAAGGTTATCAAACTACTGAAGTTGAGGAGCCATTTTTAAATGTAACTTACTTCTAGTAGTATTAATAAGAACTTTATAACACAATTCATAATTAACATTCCCTCTTTTACATACATATTTATGAACCGTTATTGTATAGAACTTTTCCATGAACTTTTTGAACAGCGTGTATACTGAACTTTTACGCAAACTCCCTATAGGCGGCTAAAGTAAGCGGGTGCATACCACTTACTTTGTGTCACCTTTTGCAAAACACATTAGCACGAGAAAGCACAGTGGGCTTCATTTTCATAAGTTAACGAGTATATACATTATAAGGTGAGGGTCACATTAGTTTCAAGTTAGCTATAATTTAGGTATTACATATATAGAGCTTTTCCCATATATCATTTGTATAATTGTACGTTAAGTGGAGTAAAATTATTATCACGTTGTTTTTAAAATTTTTTTTTTGTCAATATATATTCGATATTATTTATAATTTGCATTAAATATTATAAAAATTGGATTAAATTTTAGGGAACACGAAATTTTCAAAAAATATAGCGAAAAATTAGTACTATTTATATGTATAGTTTTTGGAGGTTAGGAATTTTTTTTTAGGATTTTCATAAAGCAAATGCTATTTGAACGCGTTTATGTTTGGGTTTTTGTTTTATTTTTATTATTTTTTTGAAGTAAATTAATCTTAACAACTAACAAGTTGTTCGCATTGCGCCTATACAAGGATAAAGCTAAACTATTTAGATATTTAAGTTGATTTTTAACTCTATTTTTATATAGTATATATATATATATTTATATGTATATTATTTTATATATAAGCTTACATACATAGTACATAGTTATAGCTATTGTGTATACGACAGTAGTATTGTTGTTTTTATTGTTCATTTATTGCGTATAGAGTTTATTTGAAATACCATCTTCTTGTTGTTATTTGAAATTTTCTCAATTTGTTTTCTCTACTTTCTTTTGTATTGCTCGTAGACTGCAGAGAGCTAGAGGTCTAAGAAGCTGTAGTTTACAAGAGTGAGCAGCTAATCGGCGATTTTTTTTTACAGTATAACTATATAACTGTGTGTATGTGTTAGTGTGTTTCGATAGTATGTATGCATGTGTGTGTGCGTGTGTTTGTTTGTTACTCTGTTTAACTGCTTAAAATAGGTGTGTGTCAGTGCCTTGCAAAAATTTAAAAACCTGGTTGTCTAAGTGGACAAAGTTTTCTAGCATACCTAGTTATATAGCTACCCACATGAACATGAACATTGCCTTTTTCCCAATTATTCAGCTATTTGATTCGGTTCTGCCGAATTCCAATGCATTACTTTGCTGAGGGATCAACCATCTAACCTAACCGAATTATATTTTCACGTTTGGAGTAAGAAATATCATCAATATGTCAGAATTAGAAAGCATTGCAAAGATTCGACAAATAAAAGCGGAAATTTCTCTTATTTAGATAGCGAATCTAATGTTGGCTATAACAGAGACCGTCTATGTATATCGGATGTTAGTATCAATGACATATATTTATCTTAAATCAAATAATAAGACAGCAAATGTGGCATATAAAAATTAATAGGTCTGAAATTGTCAAACCGGAAAATGACTAGGATTATGAAGCAATGGCAAACGAATATGGAACCAGGTAAAATTATGCAAATTTCAGAAAAATAATTGCATCGGTAGATATGTGCTATAGCACAAATCAAAATGAGCAGTTCAATTAGTTCAAAATATCGCCATTGTGCAGCTTTGGCATTTCTGTTTAGTTTAAGGAGTACATTTGACGCGGAGGAGGAAGCTATGGTCTTACAATAAATAGCTTGTGAAACTTTTGCGATTGGTTCTTCTAAATTCCACATCGTCATTTGGCTCTT